TAGAGGGAGGGGCGACACACAGATCTCTACCATCAACAATGATGTTCCTAAAAACTCAGCTAACTGAGTTATGACAGGATATGGGGGGCAGGTAATTGATGCAAAACACACTTTCCCCCATTAGCTGGACTAGCCTGTGAAACAAATCTGACCCCTTAGGACACCAAGAATTTTTGTCTAAAATGATGATTTGTGTCTTTGCAGGACTTTGAAGCCGAGATAGATGTGGGTTTGGGCTCGAGCTATCATTTAGTAGCTGTGATACTTAGAGTCATAAGTCACTTACTTCTCATCAAACCTTAGTGGAAATATCTGATGTAGAATGGATCTAATAATACTTGTACTGTACTTGTAGGATTGCTGTGAGATTTGTAAATGATGCCTGTAAAACACCTAGCAGAATGACTGGCGCATGTAATTAGCATTCTATTGATGACACCTCTTATCGTGATTATATAAGGTCCTTGTGGAGAAGGCGGGGAAGACACATATGTCATCAAAATGAAGGAGGAGGGCCCTCTACTATCTTTTGCAATAGCAGGAGATTTGTAGCCAGTTTGTTAGAGAGTTTTATCACACATGTTGTGTAAAAGATTAAAAAGAAGAGGGTAAGAATATGGTCCTGTTGTAAACATTAGGATTGACAATTGCTCTGCCTAGAGTTCATGTCTCCACTTTCTGGTGTTTAACTGAAGGACGTGGGAGATCTACATTGGGATTAGCAGTTGGTTCATGTGAAATCAATGGGTAAGACTTGAATATTGTGAGGGTTGAGAAGAAACAGCAATACCTGGCAGTGTTAGGGAACACCCAGCATGAGTGATTAGAAACCTGTGACACTGAGAAAGAGACAACTGGGCTGTGAAGAAATTCAAAGATTTTTAAAGAAATCAGCATTCCACAAAACACGCAGCTCTTCAGCATGGGGCAGGAAAATTCACCAGTGGGCCCTTGTGCTGACCGAAGGGAGAGGAAAAGTCAGGCTATTGGCAGGTGCCAAGGCAAGGTCCAGTGATGTACATCCCAGTGATAGATGCTCTAGTCTAGTCTTCTCTGTCCTTACTACAGGTGAGGAGACCAGGACTGGGTTCACGTCCTGCCACTTCCTCTTACCCATTGTACCATCTCATCCAACCTCTTTACCTAGTTTGCGCCTCTGTGAATGAGCTTACTAATGTCTGCTAGTTGGGTAGCTGTGTTCATTAACGAGGTGGCATGTGTGAGGAGCAAAGCACACTGTTGTTTTTATTGGAACACTCAAAAGTTTGCAAGGAGAAGCCCTTTTACCCAACCGTCTTGAGTCTAGAAGATTGAGTTTGGTATTGCTTAGGATTGTTCTATGGAATTGATGAGGCAATTGGCTATTTATCCTTTTCTTCCTTGCCTTTAGTTGTTCTTTGATATTTCTGTGCCACTTGAAGTCACTGGCTATGCTAATCTCCTTGGGCTGGCATAACAAAATAAGTAATGTAAAAACAACATAAACTATTGTCCACAGTTTTTGCAGCTAGAAATAACAAATCAAGGTGGTAATGAGGTTCTAGAAAGATCTGCCCTCACCACATCTTAACTTCTAATGGTTCTTGGCAATCTTTGGTACTCCTTGGCTTGTAGATGGATCAGTTGAGTCTCTGCCCCATTTCCCCTCTTGCTCTTTCAGTCTCTGTGTCTTTTCTCTTCTTATATAACAACACAAGTCATGTTGGATTAGGGCCCAGGCTACGGGCCCTCATATTAACTTAACTGATAACATCTTCAGAGATTTTATTTACATGCAAGGTCACATTCATAGGTACCCGGCTTTAGACTTCAACATATGTTTTTGAGGGACAAAATTCAACCCATTATGCCTAAGCCATGTTTCAGGGGACTCATACGAAGTTATAGTTCATTTTCTTTCTCAGCAGCAGGCTGTGCCCTGAATGGCAGTGGAAATGGGCTGCCCTCTGGTGGCCAAGGCTAAGTATAGCGTATCACCAGAGACCAGGAATACATTTGAAATGGACGCGCTGGGAGCTTCTCCTAGCTGTAGACTCTGGCAGTTTAAGGAATTCCTCATTTTTGGTGACTAGAACCTGAAACAAACTTTGAGTCACTTGAGTCATACTTTAGATACTCCACTTCAGCTTGGCGACTCTGACACTCTCAGAGTGGGTGTGAGTCAGTTAGGTGATGTGTGGGCACCCCGTCTGCTGGGCAGGATGTCCTGTTAGTCAAGAAATTTTGACCCAGCTTTTCAGACCTCACCACAGCCGCACTCTGGCTCCAAGTCCCTTTCCCCATAGGATGGGTGGCCCTGCACTTAGAGAAGCTCCTTCACTACAGCTGCTGCTGGTGGTGTACTGGGAGTCGGTTCCGACTCATAACGACCTTCCTTAGGGTTTTCAAGGCTGTACATCTTTGCAGGAGCAGAAACCCTCATCTTTCTCCCACGAAACAGCAGATTGTTTCGAACTGCTGACCTTGAGGTTAGCAGCCTGACTACTAACCACTAGCTGAAGGGCTCAAGTTGCTGGTTCCTAGAAAGAAGTCCCCTGGGAACAGTGGTTGCAGATCTGTTCTTAGAGGAAGCACAGCTGAAGGGCCCAGCCACAGGGAGAGAGCAGAGGCCACCACTCCTGCTAGCCCTGGTCCCTTTCCCTGTGGCCTGATGGAGAAGCAAACAGGGGAGAGGTTGGGGGAGGGAGAGAAAAGTGACTGTAAGCTCTGCTGTGAGCTTGCAAGCAAAACACTCTATAAAGGCCTAAGACTTTGGGGAAGTGGAGATGGGGCAAAGAGGAAGTGAGCAAACTAACGTTCTGCAACTCTGCAGTTGGTGAGAGCAAGTACTGGGCAGAACTTGCCAGCTTCTTCGTGGTGTTGTTAATGCCATTGACTCTTTTTCAATTCCTAATGACCCCATGTTACAGAGTAGAACTACCCTATAGGGGTTTCTACATTGTAATCTTTATAGGAGCAGATCTCTAGGTCTTCACTCACAGAACTGCTGAGTGGGTACGAAGCTCCCTTTTCCTGGGCTCCTGCTAACTGCATCTTGCTTTGATTGCACTGGTGGCTGGGGGGTTTTTCAGGGTTTCTGAAAAGCTGCAGAGATGCAAACAAATTGTCTCTCTATCTAGTCATTCAGGATGTTCAACTGTGTCCTAGAAAGAAGTCCTCTAGAAAAAATCTGTCCAAAGGGCAAGGTTGCAACCTTGTGGTCAAGTTGGGCCCAGTTACATTAGATCCAATGTCTGGGACAGGACTTTAGTTGCTATTCAGGCCAATGCTTCCTCCTAGATGCTTCCCTCTCCCACTGAGTCCAGTTTCTTTTAGTAGAACTGAAACAGATGTGCCCCTTCTTGTAAATGAGGAAATTCCCTGAGCTAATAATGTTTCACTTATCATTAATTTTATTGTTAAAACACACACACACACACACATATATATATATCAGTCTGATGAATGGTTCTGCTTTCCCAAGGCTCTCTTGAAGCTCCGGTCACACAGCTGGCCTGTCCTTGCAAAGCAATTGCTGAGCCTTTGTATTCACAGTCTTGACTGTTCCTTTCTTTTCCAGATCTGAGGTCAGAAACCCTTACTGATAAAGTGGCATCATTATCCCAGGAGTTCCTTGTGCTTACAAAAGCTTATGAAAGCACCACGGTATCATGTGCTCCTTCACTCCCTGTCTGTGTAGCTTGATGGCTCAGAACCTGGACTCCGAAGCCAGGAGCTTTGCCTCACTGCATAACCTTGGCCAGGTTTCTTAACACTTATGAGCCAGTTCCCTCAACAATAACCATGGCATTTGTTGCATCAGACAGCATGAGAGCGAACTGAATGATATCACACATGCAGAATGCTTAACCTGATAGATAGCATAATGCAAAGTGCTTAGAAGATCCTAGCTGATTTATTGCTGTTACTGTTTATCATAGGAGAAAAGTCTGGCAATCTACTTACTAAAAACACAGTTCTACTCTGTGGGGCACGGTTGGGGTCGTCATGAGTTGAAATCAATGTAAAAAGTGACTGGCTTTTTACATTGTATATCCAGGGCCAATTTTTGCCAGCTAGTTCCCTGACTCCTCAGAAACCCTATACAAGATCCCTATGAGTCGGAACTGACTCTCAATGACACTTAATAATGACAACAGTTAGTTCACTGAAGCACTTTCATTCATTTATCTAAAAATACGTTGGATACCTACTATTTGTCAGTAATTGTGGTAGGGGCTGGTGGTGGTTGTATGCTGTGGAGTCAGTTCCAACTCACAGTGACCCAGTATAGGGTTTCCAAGGCTGTAATTCTTTGCTGGAACAGAAAGTTTCATCTTTCTCCCAAGGAACAGCTGGTGGATTTGAACTACTGACCTTATGTTTAGCAGCCCAACATGGAACTACTGTGCTACCAGGCCTACTTGTGGTAAGGGATAACAATACAGAAACAAAAAGATGCAAAGTGTTCATGTTGTGGATTAAATTGTATCTTCCCCAAATATGTGTCAGTTGGGCTGGGCCATGATTTGCAGTGGTTTGGCAGTTATGTAATGATGTCATCTGGCAGTTGTGTATTGGTTTTAATCATCATCTATAATGTGATCTGGAGTCCTGGTGTGGCACTGTGAGCTAATGTGTCAGACTGCAAAGCCGTTTGAATTGCAGGGTCAGTGATTCAAGCTCACCAGCTGCTCCTTGGAAACCCTATACAGGGTCACTATGGGTCGGAACCGACTTGACAGCACTTCACAACAGCAGCATAATGTGATCTGATGTGATTGATAGTTGTAAGGGGATTAAGGTAGGGTAACACCTTTACTCAAATGTAAGGAGATTTTTCTCAGGGTGGCATGCATCCACTTTCATCTTAAAAGATAGAAAAGGAGTGAGAAGTGAGCAGAGAAGAAGGGACCTACCACTACCAAGAAAAAAGAACCAGGAACTAAGTATACCCTTTGGACCCAGGGTACCTGCACTGAGAACATCCTAGACCCAGGGGAACACTGATGGCAAGTCACATGAAGATCATGCAGGGACAGAAGGTAAAAAAGACAAGGATCTTGCTCCAGAGCCAATAGAGATCAAAAGCTTCATCCTAGAACTGGCACCCTGACTTTGGATTTCCAACCTTCTAAATTGTGATGTTTGTATCCTTTATTCTTGGTTGTATCCTTTCTCCATACTTATTCAATGTGAATGCTGAGCAAAAAAATCTGAGAAGCTGGATTATATGAAGAAGAATGTGGTATCAGGATAGATGGAAGACCTGTGATATGCAGATGAAACAACCTTGCTAGCTGGAAGTGAAGAGGACTTAAAGTAGTAACTGATGAAGATCAAAGATTAGAGCCTGTGGTATGGATTGCACCTCAATGTAAACAAAACAAAAATCCTCACAACTGGACCAGTCAATATCATCATGGTCAATGGAGAAAGATTGAAGTTGTCAAAGACTTCATTTTGCTTGGATCCAAATCAACACTCATGGAAGCAGCTGTCAAGAAATCGAACGACACATTGCATTAAAGGCACATCTGCTACACAAGACCTCTTTAAAGTGTTCAAGAGCAAGGATATCAGTTTCAGGACTAAGGTGCACCTAACTCAGGTCATAGTACTTTCAATAGCCTCATATACATATGAAAGTTGGACACTTAATAAAGGAGGCTGCAGAAGAACTGATGCATTTGAGTTATGGTGTTGGAGAAGAATATGAAAGTGCCATGAACTTTTCAGAACAAGCAAATCTGTGTTGGAAGAATTACAATCAGAATGCTCCTTAGAAGCCAGGATGGCCAGATTTTGTCTCTCATACTTTGGAAATATTATCAGGAAGGATCAGTTCCTGGAGAAGGACATCATGCTTGGTCGAGTGGAGGGTCAGCAAAAGAGAGGACGACCCTCTCAACAAGTAGGATTAGGCTCAAATGGAGCAATGGGCTCTAACGGAGCAACAATTGTGAGGATGGTGTGGGACTAGGCAGTGATTCATTCTGTTGGGCGTAAGGTCGGTATGAGTTGGAACCAGCTCAAAGGCACCTAACAAGAACTGAGAAACTGAGAAACTAAATGGCTGTTTGTTCATGCCGCCCATTTGTGGTATTTCTGTTACAGCATCATAAGATAACTAAGATAGGCAGAAAATGAGACAGTTGATAAGTGAGGAGTAGGTGTGTAGAAGCTGCTTAGTGGCCTGAGTAACTCTCTCAAACAAAGAAGAAATGTCTGTACTCCTGGTCTGCCATGAGGTACTTTCTCCGCCCTCAGACATCACAGGTTAGGTTGTGATGCAAACAACTGGGGCTGCCAAACCCTGCAGGAAATCACACCTAAGCTGTACATATGCCACAAAATCCACCAACATGACTTGTCCCCACACAAGAGGATCTTTCTCTTACGGAATGTTACTTGGTTCTACTGAGTGTCTGGTAGGGGAAAGGGGGTGAACTGTTTTCCCACTGAATAACTAACCTCATTTTCTTTATAAAGATGTCTTCACAACCCAAAGATTGTACTGCTTTAAAACAGTCAGGCTTTTTTTTTTTTTCAGTAGCATGCAACCTCCTAGAAATCGGGTTCTGTAACTTACTTCTCCAAAACATAGATAAAGAAAGCAGTTACAGTAGAAACATTTGTGAGAGCCTATGTTGGAGGGTGCAACCCTTAAGTCTCAGCAATGTGTGGATGTGGGCCAAAGCCTCCACACTTTGAAAACACAGATTGAATGGATACACAGTGGGAGACACACAGCAAAGGGAGATGTGACAAGTTCAGCAGGGAGGACCATGGGATTTGGTTAGAGTTGGACCAACTTGGGATACAGCAGGAGAAGCAATGGATGATATAGAAACAGAAAAACTACACAGGACTCATGCCAAGGCATCTTTCTAGTACCCTTTAGAGACATGGTTGTTAGCAAGCACCATCATTGGGTTTTCTTTTTTACTGTACATATGTGTGGGCTTAGGTTTCAATGATTTCTTTTTATTGTCTCTATAACATACCTGGTTAAAATAAATCTTTGGGTAAATAAATGCCAAGAAACACTTAAACTAGATGACTCCCATATGACAAATGCATTCACGTGCCTGGTGCCAGAAGGTGCTGACTGGGAGCACTATTCTTTGGCCATAGGAGTCTAATTCCCAGACAGAGGACTTGGTTTCTGTAGGTGAAGGAAGTATGCCATGTGATATTTTGTGCATTTGTTGTCTTTTCCCTCTTTTCTGCATGACTGGTCATCCTGTTGTCCTGTTGCTTCTCAAATAGATTTGACATACACTAGCTGCTAGTGTGAGCTCTGGTAGCGTAGTGGTTATGAATCAGGCTGCGAACCTTAAGGTCAGCAGTTCAAAACTACCAGCTGTTCCGCGTGAGAAAGATGAGGCTTTCTGCTCCCGTAAAGATTTACAGCCTCGGAAACCCTGTACAGGGTTGCTATGAGTTGGAACCGACTCCACAGCACATAACCACCACAAGGAAGACCTGTTAATATAACTATTATTCAAATTTATGCACCAACCATTAAAGCCAATGATGATGAAATTGAAGAATTTTACCAACTTCTTCAGTCTGAAACAGATCAAACGTGCAACCAAAATGTATTGATAATTACTGGATTTGGAATGAAAAGGTTGAAAACAGAGGAAAGATCAGTTATTGGAAACTATGGCCTCGGTGATAGAAATGATGCTGGAGATTGCATGATAGAATTTCGCAAACCCAATGACATAGTAATTGTAAATATCTTTTCTAAGCAACATAAAAGACAACTATATACATGGACCTTACCAGATAGAATACACAAAAACAAAGTTGACTACATCTGTGGAAAGAGATGGTGGAAAATCTCCATATCATTAGTCAAAACAAGGCCAGGCGCAGACTGTGGAACAGATCATCAATTGCTCACATCCAAGTTCAGTCTGAAGCTGAAGAAAATTAAAACAAGTCCATGAGAGACAAAATATGACCTTCAACATATCCCACTTGAATTTAAAGATCATCTCAAGAGCAGATTTGATGAAGTAGACATGAATGACTGAAGACCAGAAGAGTTGTGGGATGACATCAAGAGCATCATGCAGGAAGAAAGCAAAAAAGGCATTAAGAAGACAAGAAAGAAGGAAAAGGCCAAAATGAATGTCAGAAGAGATTCTGAAACTTGCTCTTCAGTGTAGAGATGCTAAACCAAATGGAAGAAATGAGGAAGTAAAAGAGCTGAACAGAAAAATTTAAAGGTCAGCTCAAGAAAACAAAGTTGAATATTAAAATGAACTGTGCAAAGACCTGGAGTTAGAAAACCAAAAGAAAGAGTATGCTCAGCATTTCTCAACCTGGATGAACTAAAGAAAAATTCAAGCTTCAACTTGCAATATTGAAGGACTCTATGGTAAAAATATTGAATGATGCAGAAAGCATCAAAAGAAGATGGAAAGAATACACAGAATCACTGTACCAAAAAATGGGCGATGTTCAACCCTTTGAGGATGTAGTATATAATCAAGAGCCAATGATACTGAAAAAAGAAATCCAGGATGCACTGAAGGAATTGGCAAAGAACAATGCTCCAGGAATTGATGGAATACAAATTGAAAACTTTCAGCAAACTGATGCAGTAGTGGAGGCACTCACTCGTATTTGCTAAGAAATTTGAAAGACAGCTGCCTGGTCAATTGATTGGTAGAGATCCACGTATGTATCCATTCCAAAGAGAGGTGGCCCAAGGGAATATGGAAATTATCGGACAGTGTGATTAATATCACATGCAAGTGAAATTGGTAGAGGTTCTAACTGGATTCAGACAAGGACATGGAATGAGGGCTATCACTGCTAATGTCAGATGGATCTTGGCTTAAAGCAGAGAATGACAGAAAGATGTTCACCTGTGCTGTATTAGTTACTGAAAGACTTTCAATTGTGTGGATCATAACAAGCTTTGTGGAGAATGAGTATTCTGGAACACTTAATTGTGCTCATGAGGAACTTTTACATAGACCAAGGGGCAGGTGTTCAAATGGAATTAGGGAACACTGAATGATTTAAAATTAGAAAAGGTGTGTGCCGGGGTTGTATTCTTTCACCATACTTATTTAATCTGTATGTTGTTAAGTACTGTGGAGTCGGTTCCGACTCATAGTGACCCTGCACAGGGTTTCTGAAGATGCAAATCTTACAGAAGCAGAATGCCTCATCTTTCTCCTGTGGAACTGCTGATGGTTTTGAACTGCCGACCTTGAGGTTAGCAGCCCGATTCGTAACCACTGTATGCTGAGTACATAATCCGAGAAGGTGGATTACATGAAGAAGAATGTGGCATCGAGACTGAAAGAAGACTCATTAACAACCTGCAATATGCAGATGATACAACCTTCCTTGCTGAAAATGAAGAGGACTTAAAACCTTTGCTGAGGAAGATCAAAGACCACAGCCTTCACTATGGGTTATACCTCAATGTAAAAAAAACAAAAATCCTCGCCAATGGACCAATAAACAACAGCCATATAAATGGAGAAAAGATTGATGTTGTCAAAGACTTCATTTTTCCCGGCTCAACCATCAACACTCATGGAAGCAGCAGTCAAGAAATCAGGCGACGTATTACATTAGGCAAATCTGTTGCACAAGATCTCTTTAAAGTGCGCAAGAACAAAGATGTCAGTTTGAGGACTAAGGTGCACCTGACTCAAGCCTTGACATTTTCAATAGCCTCATATGCATGTGAAATTTGGACAATGAAAAGGAACACAGTAGAAGAATTATTGCATTTTGAGTTATGGTGTTGGAGGAGAATATTAAAAGTTCATGAACTGCCAAAAGAACAAACCAATCGGTGTAGGAAGAAGTACAGCCAGAATGCTCTTTAGAAGCTAGGACGGTCAGACTTTGTCTCTCATACTTAAATTGTATTATCAGGAGGAAACAGTCGCTGGGGAAGGACATCATGGTAAAGTGAAGAGTCAGTGAAAAAGGGGAAGGGCCCCAACGAGTTGGATTGGCACAGTAACAGCAGCAGTAGCTCAAGCAGAACAAAGCTTGTGAGGTTGGCACAGGGTTGGACAGTGTTTCATTCTGTTGTGCATAGGGTTGCTATGAGTCTGTATTGACTTGATGGCACCTAAAAACAACAAGAGATTAGGGGACTGCAAGTCCATTTCTTGTTCCTGCTTTTCTCACATTTGTATCCTCACGGGATCTTTCTGCTAAACTAGCAAAAAGCAAAAATATTTTGTATTCAGTACTTCTACCTCTACTCCCATCCACTGCTGTACTTACTCTGAATGAATGATCTCGTGATAAGCCTTCTTCACCATGCCACTCAGACCACCCCTTCTCTGCTCTTTCCATCTTTATATTGAACTTTCCTGGCTCTGTACTTCCTCTTACCCTATTATCTCACTTCCTAAAACACACATAAAGAGGGTTGTTTATCTTGATGGAACTTGAGAAGTCTTGGAGGCAGCAGAAGGCAGAGATGTTGAGTGTGTCTCTCTAAGGACGTTAGAACAGCAGCACTTTACATTTCAACTTACAAGAACTGTCCTTCAGGCTTCCAGGAACCCAGAGATGTGCGGCCCCCAGTGGAGCTGGAAGTGATTACTCTGTGATGGGTAATATCTAAGGTGAGGGCGGTTTCCACAAGAGACCACAAGGAATGGAAGAACTGTGAGTTTTTTTGTATAATTGCTGCACTTCATCTCTCGGAAGATGTCTGGCAAAAGATAGGCTCACTGGATCACACAGATCCTGCGGACATACCTGTCAGCTCGGAGGCTCCTCTGGGAAAGCAAGACATCTGTCAACAGCATGGCCCTGACATTGTCCAACATTACCTACATCACCCTTGAGATTCTCATTGGGCTCTGTGCTATAGTAGGCAACGTGCTGGTCATCTGGGTAGTCAAGCTGAACCCCAGTCTGCAGACTACCACCTTCTATTTTATTGTTTCCTTAGCCCTGGCTGACATTGCTGTTGGGGTGCTGGTCATGCCTTTGGCCATTTTTGTCAGCCTGAGCATCACCATCCACTTCTATAGCTGCCTTTTCATGGCCTGTCTGTTGCTGATCTTCACTCATGCCTCCATCATGTCTTTGCTAGCCATTGCTGTGGATCGATACCTACGGGTCAAGCTTACTGTCAGGTAACCTGTTTGAAGAAGGGTGGAGTTGGGGTAATGATAAAGATTCCTGGGAGATGGGACTATATTGCTCAACTATCATACATTTTGAGTGTAAAAGAATCCAAATGGCCTTTCATATTGAAAGGGGCAATATTGTTAAATTTCCCATTATTGAGTCCTAGTGTAGCACCATAGGATAAGCACTGGATCACAAAGTTTAGTTTGAACCACAGATAAGGCTGATGGTTCTCCTGTTTCATAAATGGAGGTTATTATTTCAACTTTGCTTCCTGTTCTGTGCACACCTCCATCTTGAGGAAGGGATCCGTACTATGAATATACAAGGGAACTTCAAAAAGTTAATGTAAAATGGAATTAAAAGATAATGGCATTTTTCCACAAATATTTTGAAGCCCCCTTGTGTGTGTGTGTGTCGGGGAGGAGGGGAGTTGGCTTTAAAAGTTCGTGGAAAAATGCCATTATCTTTTACTTCCATTTTGCCATGAACTTTGTGAAACTCCCTTGTATCTGTGTGCATGTGTGTGTGTGAAGTTTATGTGTTCTTCTTCTCTTTTTCCTTCTCTCCTTCTGAGGAGTGTTATTTCCCAAAATAGTTCTTCATTGTGAAAGTAGTGCCAAGTTTTATATGACCATGTGAAGAGAACAGACTGCAAAATGGAGAATTCCAATTCCCTAGATGTCCTGAACTATGTCAGTCTTACGAATGAGCATGCACGATGTGGGAGTTACAGACAAGATTTAGACACAAACAGCTCTGGGTTCAAATCCCAAAATCTTGGGATCTGATAGACAATTTATTTGACTTTCTCTTTCAGTTTCCTCATCACAGTGGTTAAGATGCTTTGAACTAAGATTTACTTGTTTCAATTTTAGCTCCACCACTTCTGGTTTGTACAAGTTACTTAACTTGTCTGTTTCATTTCTTTTTACATCTAAAATAAAGATGACAATTGCACCTTTCTCATAAAATTAAATGAATGAACATATAAGTAAAGCTCCTCCCACAAGTCTGTGCTCCATAAATGATAGTTGTTTATATAAAGTACATTATACATATTTGTTGTTGTTAGGTGCCATCAAGTTCTGACTCATGGCAATCCTATGCACAGCAGAACAAAACACTGCTCAGCCCTGCACCATCCTCACAAAGTATATAGTTGTTGTTGTTAGGTGCCATAAAGTTGGTTCCGACTCAATACAACACTGTATAGGGTTTCCGAGGAGCAACTGGTGGATTTGAACTAAAAAATATGAGTTTCCTTCTTGAAGTTTGTAGGATAATATCAGGAAGAATGACTTAAGGAGAAATTCTGACTCTGATGGGTAAGGCTTCAGAGGTCCTTGACATACTTCTACACAACCTTTGCATCTCCACGGACTCATATAACTCAAACACCAAATGTGTGTGCCATTGTAGCAGAAGCAGGCACGGGTGGAGAAGTTTGGGAGAAGCATCTTATGAATATCAGCACAACAGCCAAACAGAATAATAAACAGTATAGAAGGCAGGCACGCTTCAGTAAATCTTAACTTCCAAGAATTGAATAATTTGTGGACTAGAGATGGAACCATGAGTGGGGTGTGCAAGTACCTGACTCAAGGTAACATATTCCTAGCCATTTGACCATTCGAGATAGGACTTCTTTAGAAAAGTCCTAGTGAAGCTGGCTGGATTTTTTCCTATTCATTTTCTGTTCATCTTGTTTTCATGTTCGATAGAGTTTAGCTGTAGTCTGCATAGAATATCAGTTCTCTTCTATATAAACAGGAGATTGGGTAATTAAGAGTGAGTGCATGCCTTATCTCTTGATCTCACTGTTTTATTAGCTCTATCTCCTTCAACTCTTTAGCAATTTCTGCCACAAACTCACTAGATCTTTTCCCTTCAAACAGATACAAGAGGGTCACCACTCAAAGAAGAATATGGTTGGCCCTGGGCCTTTGCTGGCTGGTGTCATTCCTGGTGGGATTGACACCTATGTTTGGCTGGAACATGAAACGGATCCCAGTGTACAACAACAATCTCACCTACATTCCATGCCAATTTCGTTCCGTTATGAGGATGGACTATATGGTCTACTTCAGCTTCTTCGTCTGGATTTTTATACCCCTGGTTGTTATGTGTGCCCTCTACCTTGAGATCTTCTATATTATCCGGAACAGACTTAATCAGAACTTTTCTAGCTCCAAAGATACAGGTACATTTTATGGGCGAGAGTTCAAGACAGCTAAATCCTTGTTTCTGGTTCTTTTCTTGTTTGTTGTGTCCTGGCTGCCTTTATCCATCATCAACAGCATCACCTACTTTTTTGGTGATGTACCAGACATTGTGTTATACTTGGGCATTCTGCTGTCCCATGCCAACTCCATGATGAACCCTATCATCTATGCTTACAAAATAAAGAAGTTCAAGGAGACCTACCTCTTGATCTTAAAAACCTGTATGATTTGCCAGTCCTCTGATTCCCTGGACCCAAGCAGTGAGCCGTCTTCTGATTTAGTTATCCATGGAAGATGACCTTCAGATTCAGAATCAACAAACACCTGAGGGCCTAGTCCTCGGAACCAGGACTTTTACATCCCTTGATTCCTTTCACTGAGATGTGGAACATTTCGCAGGCTATCTTAAATTGTACCTCCCTTACCCAATTCCTCGAATGCAATTTTCTAGAGGCCTGACTTGAGGACAATGCACTATTGTTGCTACTGATTCCTATGTTCCTTTTTCCTGTATAGAAGGACAATTCATGGAGCCTGAAGGATGCCTCCTCACTTGCCTTCTGGCTGGACACATATGTGATGGTGACTCAGTTCCACTCCATTTCAGAGTCTGATAACTCTGCTTTCAGCAGATGTCCAGGAGATGTTGGGCGCTCAGTGTAAAGAGGATTTAAACTGCTCAATCACCTGTGAATGTATTTGAGTGGATTAAAAAATGATAGCTAAATGATACTGTTGTGTGTAACTGTCTCTGGGAGTCAGGATCACTCGGGGCTGGGAGACCCAGCTAACTGCTCCTGGCACTCAGCCTGCTTACTACTTGGAGCCACGTTGGGTGTTCATCTGTGTGAATTATGGGCTTCTTGTCCATCCCCCTCCCCCAATACCTGGTCCCTTATTCCTGGGCTAATCAGAGCATTTGTTAACTTTATGAGCAATTCATCTATTGTTAAAGACAGAATGATCCTGTCTCTAGAAAGACCATTACCCTTGAATTGTTTGCAGTTCATAGTGGCTATAGGACAGACTTGAACTGAACATTTGTTCTGGTGATTCATTTTAATAGGAACAGTTGGAAACAGGGGCAGTGGTGGTAGTGAAAAATGAGACAATGGATTGCTATTGGTTACTGAACACTTTCAAAGCACTTTTTTTGTTCTGACCATCTGGAAGGTAGGTTTTTTGTTTGTTTTGTTTTAATGTCTTTATTGTGAATTGAGTGAAAGTTTACAGGGCAGATCATCAGTTTTACATTCACCAAAGCATACACCTTGTTTCATTACAATGATTATAATCCCCTTCATGTACCATCAGTTTAGATCTCTCTATTCATTTTAGATCTTTTTTTCTTTTAGATCCATTTTAGATCTTTTTTCTTTTGTTTTTAAACACTCAGGCATTTATAATAAGTTACACAACCAAAGGGTACCTTCTGAAATTCTGCCTCCTGGCCGCCAGCTTTCAGTGCTTCTCTTCCCATGAATCCAGAGTCCTCAGCTGCTCCCTCTCTCCATGTCCCCATCTCTGTCTCCATCTGTGGTGTTGCTGCTTCTTTGGATAAGGTCCTACATTCCAATTGTGCTCTTCTCCCAGTTTGTCCTAGAGTCCTCTGTTTCTGGACTGTAAGATTAACTCCTCCCTCATTTTTGTTATAAAATTTCTACCTTTACATTTGTGACAGTCACAATTAGTCATGATAACAATTACTCACTATTGAATCATAAGAATCTTATCCCAACCCCATGTGTTTTTACCAGACCCATCTAGACAAGATGAAAACTATTCAGTGGCGACTCTATCTTCCTTCACATACTTTTTTTTACCCCCCTCACACACTCTTAAACTAAACTCCCTCTTGAAACCTTGTAAACCAGTCACTTTGTGCCTTTATTGCCCCCTCATTTTAGGTAGCCAGTGTCTAAGTTGCCTGTCTTTATCTAAGGTGTGTACAGAGAGGATAGCATTGATACTTGATGTGAAGACTCCTCCCCTCTCTGTTGGTATTACTACCTCCATGAGTATAGGTCAAGTTCATCAAATTGTAGCAATTTACCATCGTTTCCTTTATCAAAAATTGTTTTTGGTTTTTCATCTTCCTCTAGTCGAGTTCTGACCATCAAACCATCGAGGCTAGGTCAAATGGCCACTATCTGTAAGTTTGAGTGTTCTTGTGCATCTGCCCTCACTTTACATCAGCTGGATGCTTCACTCTCAGCTCTAGACCTCCGTGGCTATGTCCTTGTCCATGGGCTCAAGTGTCCTCAGGTCTCACCACACTTTGGACCAACCAGCCCTTCCTCTTTACTCTCTCATCTCCAGGTTAACGGGAGTCTATGGAACATGGTCCAACTCAACCCATATCTTCATTGCTGCCTTTCCCCCTCTTCCACTCACCAGCATATCAACGTGGTCGTCAGCAAGCTTACATACATGCTCTGTGTTCCCTTTGAGTTTCAGTCTTAGAGGAGGGTTTGTCCTGAGGTAAGTGGATTGCTTGCCCTGATGGCTTCTGGCAAACAACTTGTAGTAGCCAGTCATACTGACATTTTTGTTTTGGGTTTCTCCTGACGATCTTTCTTTGGACATGTATCTTCTGTGGCTCTAGCTGTTCCAGGCTGGTCTGCTTGTCCTTGCTAGTGGGAATGTCCCCCCTCAGAAGGTTCTGGATGGGACACAGGATTCCACCTAAGGTCCTATACACTGCAAAGGATCTGCAAGAGGCATATTTTTCTGGTCAAGTTCTAGAACCCCTTTTAGGTATTCCAATCAGTTATAGGCTG